GAAGTCATCTAGTCCAACCCCCTGCTCATCCAGGAGACCTGTACAAGGGTTTCGAGTCGCTGAACTGCCGACCTTTCTGATCGACAAGCTCAGTGTCTTAGCCACTGAGCCACCTAGTCACCTTAATCTGCTCATTATTACAGCCAGTCCTTGATTTACGTTGAAATATCCTTCTGGGTTCAGTTCCAAGTGGGGAAAAAGACACTGGATTCATGGAAGTTGCTTGGAAAGATAATTTTTTAATGGTGGACAGGATCACATGCCTTGAAGATCTTGGGTGAAGAAAAAACAGGGAAGAGATGCTGAGACTGCCTGGGTTTTTTATACCCTCTCTGGGCTTTTGAATTTGAGCTTGTTATTCTGATTGGTTGTCAGACTCCCACAGGACCATGCAGGGGTAACTTTGTAGGTTGTCTGTGTCCCAGGCTTGGTTGACTCTTGCTGGGTGATGATGTAATGAAAGGGCGTTTGGGCAATTCTTACTATGGCTCTCCCTGAAGGAGGTAGATCTTTGTTACTTAGAATAGACTGGCCCAGCCTTAACGGCCCATTGACGAAAGGGGGGGGTTAAGTTTCTGCCTCCCCTTTTAGGGGAAATATTTTGCCCTTTTAATATTTCCTAAAATATTTTGTTTTCTACAATCACAATCATTCATTGTTATCATTGTTATGGAAAAAAAAGTGACTTTATAACCTGTCCTCACCTTTCTGACTACCCCGGCATTCCCACAATCGCTTGATCAAAATTCTCGGAGGCTTTTCTTTATGATGGTTGCAGCATCCCTGCATGATCTCCATTTCTTCCCTTCCCAGGCAGCTTCCAACAACAAAAGTCAGGGGGGGGGGTGGAGTTGGATTCGGTTAGCAGCTATGTGACTCACTTAACAGCGGTGGTGACTTGCTTAACAACGGGTCAAAAATGGCTGTCCAGTAAGATGCAGCTTACTTAACGGCCACATCGCTTAACAACAGAAGCTCCAATCCTAATGGTAATGCTACGTCGGGGATTACTTGTGTCTTTGCCTATTTGTTCACTTTACTTCTGGGTTTTGCTCTTTTTTAAAAAAAAAAAAAAATTCTCTAGCAACCTACAGGACTAGTAATTTTAAAGCTTTAAAAGAGCACACTTTAGGTGCTCCATATTATAAAATCCACATGTTATAAAAAAGATGTGGAGACTCTAGAAAGTATGCAGAGAAGAGCAACAAAGATGATTAGGGGACTGGAGGATAAAACATACGAAGAACGGTTGCAGGAACTGGGTACGTCTAGTTTAATGAAGAGAAGGACTAGGGGAGACATGATAGCAGTCTTCCAATATCTCAGGGGCTGCCCCAAAGAAGAGGGAGTCAAGCTATTCTCCAAATCACCTGAGGGCAGGACAAGAAGCAATGGGTGGAAACTAATCAAGGAGAGAAGCAACTTGGAACTAAGGAGAAACTTCTTAACCGTGAAAACAATTAACTATTGGAATGGGTGCTTTAACACTGGAGGTTTTCAAGAAGAAATTGGACAATCATTTGTTCGAAATAGCATAGGATTTCCTGCTTATTTTATAGAATAACAGAGTTGGAAGAGACCTTGGAGGTCTTCTAGTCCAACCCCTGGCTCAAGCAGGAAATCCTATGCCATTTCGAACAAATGTAAGTCAAGGACTGGCTGTAATGATGAGCATATTAAGGGCAGTGGCTAAGACACTGCGCTTGTCGATCAGAAAGGTCGGCAGTTCGACGGTTCGAATCCCTGGTGCAGGTCTCCTGTGTGAGTAGGGGGCTGGGCTAGATGACCTCCAAGATCCCTTCCAACTCTGTTATTCTATAAAATTCCACTTGGGCAGGGAAGGGGATGACCTTGCTATGCTGAGCTACAAGAAGCATAATTTCTTCAAGGTTCCAAAGCACACCTAAACTAGGTTTGATTAAAAAATAAAATAAAATTCCTTGCTATGTATTTTTTTCTCTCTCTCACACACACACACACACATTAAAACTGACCACTGCAATTTTTACATTTGCCCGGGGTTATTCTGGGAAGCGGCCAAAATAGCCAGTGGATCATTTCCTTCTCCTTAGCTGGAGGAAATGCAAAATAGAACACACCTTTATGCTCACCTGGCATTTTCCTTTTTATGAATTCTGCACAGTGGATGAACACTGGTGCAGAGATGCCAAGGCCTTTCCCTAGATGCAGTAAAGCGGAATAAATAACGTTTCATTGGCTTGAGGTTTTCATGTTCGCTTCTTTCTTTTTATGTAGGGGTAAGCAAGGTGGCTCAGGGGCTAAGACGCACAGCTTGTCGATCGAAAAGGTCGGCAGTTCAGCGGTTCGAATCCCTGGTGCCGCGTAACAGGGTGAGCTCCCGTGACTTGTCCCAGCTTCTGCCAACCTAGCAGTTCGAAAGCAGGTAAAAAATGCAAGTAGAAAAAATAGGGACCACCTTTGGTGGGAAGGGAACAGCGTTTTCCGTGCGCCCTTGGTGTTGAGTCATGCCGGCCACATGACCACGGAGACGTCTTCGGACAGCACTGGCTCTTCAGCTTTGAAACGGAGATGAGCAGCGCCCCCTAGAGTCGGGAACAATTAACATGTATGTGCGAGGGGAACCTTTACCTTTAAGCAAGGTTATTTGTGATTGTCCCAAAGGTGTTTTTTTTTCCCAAGAGGCAACTGGACTTTCTGGTTTTTCTTTGAAGCTGTTTCACTTCTTATCCAAGAAGCTTCTTCATGAAAGAAAGAAAAAGAAAGAAAGAAAGAAAGAAAGAAAGAAAGGAAGGAAGGAAGGAAGGAAGGAAGGAAGGAAGGAAGGAAGGAAGGAAGAGGAAGGCAGGGAGGGAGTGTAGAAGGAAGGAAAGAAAGGAGCATGAAAGAAGGAGGGGGAGAGGAAGGAAAGAAGGGATGAAAGAGGAAGGAAGGAAGGAAGGAAGGAAGTTTGCCAATCTTCTACACTGCTTCATCAACCATCAACCATTTAATCATAGGGCAATTGTTAAACGAATCTCACCCAATTTTATGACCTTTTTGGCCATGGTTGTTAAGCCCATCCCCGCTGTTGTTAAGTGAATCACACAGTGGTTAAGCAAATCCAGCTTACCGCGTTGACTTTCCTTGTTGGAAGCTGGCTGGGAAGGTCGCCAATGGCAATCCCGTGACCCCGGGACGTGGCCTGAATTGCAATCACATGACGGCAGGGATGCCGTGGTGGTCACAAGCCCCCCCTTTCCCCCCGCCCAATGCTGCTTGGCACAGTCGCTAAATGAACGGTCGTAAGCCGAGGACCCGCAAAACAATCTTTCCTTCTCTTCCTAAGCCTCTGTGGCAGGGATCTTGGATCCCCGCAAAAGCTTCTGAGACAGATTAAGAGCCGGCAGGAAAAATGATCGGCCCCTTGGCTTCTGTTCGACAGGGATAGCCATGCAGGCAGGAATTCAGAGAGTGTGTTTGTGTGTCCCTGTGCGATGTCCTTTTGGGCTTCTGACGTCTGGAAACTGGAATGCCAAGGATGCAACAGGTGGCATTTAACGGGAGAAACCAGCACCAGCGGGTTCCACGTTTGGTTGAAAAGATCTGGACTGAATCTGGTCAGTTTCCTAAAAAAACAATAAAAGATCTCAGCCTATGGAACCAACTTTCGGCTTTTTTTGGGGGGGGGTGATTTCAAAGCTATCCTCCAGGCCCCAATTTCTCTCTTCAGATTTTCCTAGGCCTTGTCCCCCTTCTTCGCAGTCATGAGGGCCAGAAACTTAGGAAGGGAAGGAAGGAAGGAAGGAAGGAAGGAAGGAAGGAAGGAAGGAAGGAAGGAAGGAGAGCAGGAAAGGAAAGGAAAGGAAAGGAAAGGAGGGAAGGAAGGAAGGAAATTCATTTTTTTGCCCACCATTGCAAGATTTGGTCATTATTATTTTTTAATCCTTCGTTCCGGTAATATCTGCTTGTTTTCTTCGTGTATGAAAGGAGAAAGGAGGGAGGGGAACTGTTTTGAATGACCTAAATTCAACAATTGAAATTCCTTAGGGACTCCGATCGACTTGCGCGAGGCTATAGTGCTGAATTTCAAGTTTTTCTAGGGAAGTTCGAGGATTTTGAAGGACATATCCTTATATAAAACAGATGTTCCCTTCACTAAACACGTAGACGCCTTTAATACAGCAGCAGTCGCCATGCCAACTCCTTAATTTAATAATCTGATCTTCACGCTGGCAGACTTTCATCCTCTGGCTGGTTTATAAAACGATTTTGAGGCAGACCTGCTTTATAAACCATGGTTTGTGGCTGAGGCCAAGTCACTGTGGTTTATTTAACAACAGCAGGCTGAGGTTCCACAGTGGGGTATAGATGCATCAAGTCAGAGCTTGTTTGAACTCTTAAATGGCTCTGCTGACCCGAAAATTAAGTCATAAATCATGTTAACTCCTACAGTGCTGAAGTTCACTTAACAACCGTATGTTCGCTTAACAACCATGGGTTTTGCTTAACAACCCACAGTAAAAATCAAAGGATTTGATTCTTATCTCCAGTTCAACTCCAGCCATGGTTACTAACTGCATCGCTTAGCGATCTGATCCCAAATATGGCCATAAGTCAAGGACCGTCCATATTTTTTTTTTTTGACTTCTGATCCGAGGCCATAATAAATTCCGTCATTTTTGTGTGTATGTGTGTGTGTATGTGTGTGCGTGATTTGTCTGCGACCTAATAAAACTCTCTGTCTTTATTTTGGATATTCTGTGCAGTTATGCTTTTTGATTTCTTTCCAGTAACCATGAGGACTAGAGGCTTGAACATATAGATACCATATTGTACCGAGCAATCGACAGTTTTCCTACCAAGTAGAATGTAACTCTGTTGAGTTGGAAGGGACCTTGGAGGTCATCCAGTCTAGCCCCCTGCTCACGCAGGAGACCTGTACTAGGGATTCGAACCGCCGAGCTGCCGACCTCTCTGATCGACAAGCTTAGCCACCGAGCCACCTAGTCAGGCTGAATCTCTTCTCTTACCTCTTTCAGGGAATTTGATTATCTGGATAATCCACCAAGATGTCGGAAGAGATCATCGTCCCAATTTATTGCACCGGGGTCTCGGCTCAAGTCCAGAAGCAACGGGCCAAAGAACTGGGTTTGGGGAAACATGAGAACGCAGTCAAGCACTTGGGTCAGGATTTTGAGAGGCTTCGCAGCGAATGCCTGCAGAATGGGAGCCTCTTCAGGGACGAAACCTTCCCCGCCACAGCCTCTTCGCTGGGTTTCAAAGAACTGGGGCCGAATTCTTCCAAGACCTACGGAGTCAAGTGGAAACGCCCAACGGTGAGTTTTGAATTTTTAAGGATGCAGAAATTCATTTTTTAAAAAAAATTCTTAAGTCTGTTTCTTTTGAGGGGTCCTGGGCAGGGGTGGGCTTCAAAAATTTTAGCAAGGGGTTCTCTGCCTGGTTGCTGGGTGGGCGTGGCCATGGTGGGTGTGGCCTAGTCAGCCTCCCGCACCACAGTGATGGTGGTGGGGTTTTTTGCCCTCCCCGGGCTTCGGAGGCTTTCTTTGAGCCTCCGGGAGGGCGAAAATGGCCTCCCCAGGCTCCGGAGGCCCTCTGGAGCCGTGGTGAAATGTAAAATTTGTTAATACCGGTTCTGTGGCCATGGCTTGTTAGGGGGGGTAATGTGGCTGGTGGGCGTGGCCAACTTTTTTTTTTTTTTACTTTTAAAACCATTTTTTCTACAACCTCTTCAGCTGAAGAGGTTGTAGAAAAAATGCTTTTAAAAGCCTCTGATGATTCAGGCAACTCAGCTGGGATCGTCAGAGGCTTTTAAAGGCAATTTTTTTTCTACAACTTCTTCGGCCGAAGAAGTTGTAAAAAAAAAATGCTTTTAAAAGCCTCTGACGATCCCAGCTGAGCCGCGTGATCATCACAACCTCTTTTTGTTACTTTTAAAAGCATTTTTTCGGCGGAAGAAGTTGTAGAAAAAATGCTTTTAAAAATAAAATAAAAAGCCTCTGATGATTGCACGGCTCAGGTGGGCATGGGGTGGGGGGGCAGAGATGTTTGCTACCAGTTCTCTGAACCACCTGCCACCGTTGCTACTGGATTGGGCGATCTGGTCCGAACCGGGAGCATTTCACCCCTGCTCTGGAGGCTGGAAACGGGCCCGTTTCCAGCCTTCCCGAACTTTCGGGAGGCCCGTTTTTTGTCTTCCCCGAGCCTCCGTGCGCACCCTGCACTTACCTGCATCCAAAACGGGCCATGTGGGGACTCCTGGGAGGGGAGGGGTGGGCGGGGCCAGCCAGGAGTGGGATTTGGCGGTTCTCTGAACTGCCCAGAATCTTCGCTAGGGGTTCTCCCGAACCTCTGCGAACCCCTAACAGCTCACCCCTTGTCCTGGGTCGTCTCAAGGTTGCAAATGACGATCGCACGACCGCAAAATTCTTAAATCTGAGCCGGTTGCCAAGCATCCAGATTGTGGACCATGGGGCCACAGGGGTCGGCCGACAGTCGTAACTTTAAAGTCGCTTTTTCCATAGCCATTGCAAACTTCAAACTGTCGTTAAATGAATGAGTTATAAGTCAGGGACTGTCTGTCATTTGAAAAGTGACTAGACAGGTTCAGGCACGATCTAGCCTACCTGAAAGCTATGAATACGGTTGGCCTGTGGATGAATTCTTGGATCAGAGACAGGAAGTGGTCAATGCTGGCTGCAGGGGAAGGCTCGTGGGGCTCCCTGAGGGCATCCAGCTGACCCCTTTAGAGCTAAAATGGTGCCTGATGTAGCCTTCACACCCTGCTGGCCTTCTCAAGTTCTTCTGCCATTTAACAGCTTTGTCTCTCTGAATCTTTCAGGAAATGTGCCGAAACCCACTTTTCATTGTAGACGGCGCCACACGGACCGACGTCTGTCAGGGAGCTCTGGGTGAGTGGCGAGACCTGCAGCCACATGGGTTTCCACATCCCTGGGCCCTTTTCTGTGTTTTTTTTTTTTTTTTACTCCAATCAGACGGGAGCAGAAAAGCTTAAGAAAAGCAACCTAGAACTAAGGAAGGATTTCCTGACAGTGAGAACAATTCACCAGTGGAATGGCTTGCCACCAGAAGTTGTTGGTGCTCCATTAATGGAGGCTTTTAAGAAGAGATTGGACAACCATTTGTCAGGAATAGGATGGGATGGGATAGGGAATGGGATAGGGATAGGGATGGGGATAGGGAATAGAATAGAATAGAATAGAATAGAATAGAATAGAATAGAATAGAATAGAATAGAATAGAATAGAATAGAATAGAATACCTTGATGAGTTTCCACCCATTGCTTCTTGTCCTGCCCTCAGGTGCTTTGGAGAATAGCTTGACTCCCTCTTCTTTGGGGCAGCCCCTGAGATATTGGAAGACTGTTCTCATGTCTCCCCTAGTCCTTCTTTTCATCAAACTAGACATACCCAGAATGATGTAGGGTCTCCTGCTTGTGCAGGAAGTTGTCTGAAGTGTCTGAAGTGGTTTTGTCTGAAGTGGTATACAGAAGGGACCTTGGAGGTCTTCTAGTCCAAGACCTCCAAGGTCCCTTCTGTATACCACTTCAGACAAAATGGCTGTCCAATCTCTTCTTGTAAACCTCCAGTGTTGGAGCACCTACAACTTCTGGAGACACTGTCGCGAAATTCCTTCTCAGTCCCAGGTTGGATCTACCTCTGAGCAGCTTCCACCCATTGCTTCTGGCCCCAGCAGTTATAGGAAATTTTCTTCCCCTCTGGTTGCTTCCACGCCCTTCTGTCAATTAGCTGCCACTCCACCCTGAGGCACCAAGCCAACTTTGGGGCTAAGGAACAGGTTGCAGCTTGTAGTAATTCCAGACACGGTTGGCAGTTCTACCATCCCTCTATAGTCCTCCCGACCGATTGTGGACCCGGAAAAATTGCAAACCAATTGAATGATGCATCATGTATGTAGAACTGGCTTGGCTTAAGAAGCATAGTGTGTCCAATAAACCACAACTCGTTTTCAAACAGCACAGCCTTTCCAAACTGACAAGGTGTGTGTGAATCAGGTTGCAACCAAAGTCAACAAAGCAAATTTTTTGCAGCCCAGCATTCTTGATTGACGGAAACCCTGTGGATTTATTATTATTATTATTATTGTTATTGTTATTGTTATTGTTATTGTTATTGTTATTGTTATTATTATTATTATTATTATTATTATTATTATTATTATTATTTTAGTTTATCTAGTCTCGTCTGGGAGATGTCAAGAATTGATCCCGCGATCTTTTGTATACAAAATTTAGGCCTTGTTATCTGTGTGAATCTATATTAATTTCCCGGGTTTAGAGTAAAGATAGATCTCCATTTACAACCAGAATTACAGTCATTAATTAAGCCGGTCGTTAAAAGGGTTACCACATAAACCGTGTCCCATTTTGCGGCCATATTTGCAGTGGCTGTTAAGCGAATACTGCGATCCTTAAGCAAATGGCTCATCTGCAAAACAATTTGTAAATGGCTGTAAATGGAGGGGTTGTTTTTTTCCCCCCCGGAAACTGATGTTTATTTCTGGTTTCTGGAAAATAAAAAAACTCCCAAGTCCATTGTGGACCATGAATTTGGGTTCATATAAGGACTGCTGCAAAACAAGAGAGAGGAGGAAGGGGGTTAAGCTATTTTCCAAGGCACCCGAAGGCCAGACAAGGAAGAATGGATGGAAACTGATCAAGGAGAGATTCAACCTGAAAATAAGGAGAAATTTCCTGACAGTGAGAACAATCAACCCATGGAACAGAAGTTGCCTTCAGAAGTTGTGGGAGCTTCATCCCTGGAGGCTTTCAAGAAGAGACTGGACTGCCCATTTGTCAGAAATGGTGTAGGGTCTCCTGCTTGGGCAGGGGGTTGGACTAGATGACCCACAAAGTCCCTTCCACCTCTCTTAATCTGTATCTTTACCTCCCTCCCAAGCCTGTTATTCTATGTTCTAATTTTTATGGATCCTTTCTGGATAGCAGGCTGAATTTTCTGGTATCTCTCTGACTAGGGGATTGCTGGCTGTTAGCTGCCATTGCGTCGCTCACGCTGAACGATCCCCTTCTCCATCGTGTGGTCCCTCACGGACAAAGCTTCCAGAACGGATATGCTGGTATCTTCCACTTCCAGGTAAAATACCTCTCTCCGATCCTTTGTTCCAGGTCCCACGGATTCATTTCCCCTTTTCTTTTTGAAATACAAGCAGGGTGTATGAGCCCTGCGAGGTAGTCCAGAAAAGAATTATAACCAGGAGGTCCATAGCTCTATATTCATTGTAAGGTTCCATTGACAGAGTCTTGCGAGTCTGACAATGCATTTCCCCATCACCTTTGAAGTGAGAAAAACTGTAGTAACAGGTGTTGTTTAATATTAAGGGTGATGATAGAGGTTGTGTTGTTTTCTTCATCTTGTTTTTTTTTTCAGATTTTACTACCCAGTTTTATAATCCAAATACTCGATTTCTTTAAATTCAAAATGCCCAATCAGACTCTTCAGATTCTTGATACCCTAATCCAGAGGTGAAATGCTCCCGGTTCGGACCGGATCACCCGATCCGGTAGCGATGGCGATGGGTGGTTCGGAGAACTGGTAGCAAAAATCCCTGCCACCACCCCCCCCATGTCCAGCTGAGCCATGCAATCATCAGAGGCTTTTTCTACAACCTCTTCGGCCGAAAAAATGCTTTTAAGAGTAAAAAAAAAAAAAAAAAAGTTGGCCATGCCCACCCAGTCACATTACCCCCCACCAAGCCACGCCCACAGAACCAGCAGTAACAAATTTTATTTATTTATTTATTTATTTATTTATTTATTTATTTATTTATTTATTTATTTATTTATTTATTTATTTATTAAATTTATATACTGCCCTATTCCCAAGGGACTCAGGGCAGTGAACAGCGAAAGATAAAAATACATGTAATACAAACGTTAAAAAACCAATTAAAATATACTAAACACTCTGGTCCTAGATAATTCAAGACATCCCAGTTTAAAACAAAATCAAAAGCAATATAAAGGGAAAGTTAGGCCAGGCCGGCCTGCTGAAACAGGAATGTTTTGAGGGCACGGCGGAAAGTGCGCAGATCCGGGATCTTCTGTATCTCTGGGGGGAGCTCGTTCCAGATGGTGGGTGCCCTCACAGAAAAGGCTCTCCCCCTGGGGGCCGCCAGTCGACACACAATTTTAATTTCACTACTGCCCTAATCCACATAGATTTGATCCATAAACAATACAAAAAGCCAAGAACAATCAAACAGCCCAAAAGGGCAAAAATAGGGGGGGGGGAGAAAAAAAAAGAAAGAAAGAAAGAAAAAAGGAAAGAAAGAAAGAAAGAAAAAAAGAAAAGATAAAACCAGATCACCGCAAAAATAAAAATTCACTAGTCCAAAACCCAGGTTTTTGCCCAAAATATCCAACCAAGCAATAAAAAAAATGCAAAAGGTATATCTCCCTCCCAAAAATTAAAAAATAGAAAAAACAAAGACCCTGCCAATGAACTCTTTTAAGTCCAGGAAGAGGGAATTTCTACAAGAAAATGTACATTTTATATTATGTGTATAAGGAATAAAACTGAAAAAGCATTTCCAAAAAAAAAAAAGAGAGAGAGAAAAACTACAGCTGGTCCTTGACTTACGACCATTCACTTAGTGACCATTCAAAGTTACAACGGCTTTGAAAAAATGTGACTTAGGACTGTATTTCAGTTACAAACATCACAGCATCCCAATAGCCACGTGATCAAAATTCAGACGCTTGGCAACTGTCTCCTATTTATGACGGTTGCTGTATCCCAAGATCACGCGATCCCTTTTTGCGACTTTCCGACAAGCCAAATCAACGGGGAAGCCGAATTCACTTAACAACCGTGTTACTAACTAAACAACTGAAGTGATTTGCTTAACCCCGGTGGCAAGAAGGTTCATAAAACAGGACAAAACTCACTTAACAACTTGCTTAACAACGGAAAATTTGGGTTCCGTTGTGGTTGTAGATCGAGGACTACCTGTATGGACTGAAGGCACTTTAAAAAGCCGAGATTGTTGATGTTTGCACAATTGTGGTCTCTTATCGCAAGTTTCCTTAATAGAGCAGCCGCTGAGTACGGCTGACCGTAAATTTAGGATTCTTGATTTCTTTTGGTCTTCTGAAAAACAGCTCTGGCAGTTTGGCGAATGGATAGAAGTGGTGGTGGACGATTTGCTCCCGACGAAAGATGGCAAGCTGGTATTTGTTCATTCTGCCGAAGGGAACGAGTTCTGGAGTGCCCTGCTCGAAAAAGCTTATGCCAAGTACGTATCGTTTCCTTTATTATTATTATTATTATTATTTTTGAGGGAAAACTGTTTCAGAGTTGATCTGAGCAGGTCAGAAGATTTGGCATTCTTTCCCCCCCAACTCTCTCTCTCTGCCAAGAATTGGCTTCTGGAGACGGGATAAAAATCACCATAGAGTTGCAATAGGATCGAAGGCTATAACTCGATATCTCCCTAGGTTGAATGGCTGCTATGAAGCCTTATCTGGCGGAAGCACCTCCGAAGGGTTTGAGGACTTTACAGGCGGGGTGACCGAGTGGTATGATCTCCAGAAGCCTCCCAGCGATCTCTTTCAGATCATTTTGAAAGGCCTGGAGAGAGGATCTCTTATGGGATGCTCCATTGACGTGAGTATATCGGGGATGTCATGTCGCCTTCGCTTAAAGTTGGGCATCTCAACAAGAGGGGCACATGTGGGTGGACTCCCTAAGTCCGTGATGGCGAATCTATGGCACGCGTGACCAGCTGATTTTTGGGCCTTCCGGGCCCACCGGAAGTTGGGAAAGGGCTATTTCCAGCCTCCGGGGGAGTGGGGAAGGCCATTTTCGCCCTCCCCAGGCTCCAAGAAAACCTCTGGAGCCTGGGGAGGGCAAAAAATGGGCCTTCCGGGCCCACCAGTAGCCTTTTTGCCGTCGCGTATAAAAAATGGGGGAAGCACGGGGGGGTCATGCACGCATGTGCGGGGGCAGGGAGGCATTGAATTATGAGTGTGGGCATGCGGGCGCATGACCACCCCGCGCTTCCCCGCTTTTGGCACGCGACGGCAAAAAGGTTAGCCATCAGTGCCCTAAGTCATTGGATACTTGGCAAGCTTTATTACTATGTACTATTAAGGTAAGGCAAGATTAAGATGAGATGAGGAGATGAGATGAGATAGAAGATGGAAGAAGATAAGATGATAAGATAACGTATCATAATATAACATAAGCTAAGATAACATAAGATAACATAAGATAACATAAGATAACATAAGATAATATAAGATAACATAAGATAACAAGATAGAGTAAGATTTTTATAGTAGTTGGAACATGTGGTATGATTGGATCCAGAAACGATAGGAGAGAGATAAAAGATAATGTTGGATTATAATTATAGATGATGGTATAATTATGGTAATCAATATGTGTTGGAAATGTAAATTTGTATATAAGAATATGTAAATAGTTTCTATTTTTACTTTCTGATTATTGGTGTATATATACATGGATATTTTGGTGATGTTACACCGTGATAGAAAAACTATTATACATTTGTTTTTGTTTTTTTGAACTATAATAAAAATTTATAATAATAATAATAAAAAAAGATAGAGTAAGATAAGACGATAAGACAGATGAGATCAGATGATAAAAATAACATAAAATAAGATTTATTGTTACTTTTTTCTGTGAATACACTGGCACGCATTTAAAAAATGAAATTCTGATGCCCGCTCTCATTATTTTATTATTTACTAAATTTTTATGCAAGGTGACTCTGGGCGGCTTATAATAATTATAAGTAATAATTATAATTATTATAAGTAAATATAATTAAAACATTGACACATCAAATTTACACAGATTAAAATATGAAAGGCTGTACTAAAACCAGAGCTTAACAGATGGACTTCTGTAGCGAGTCCTTGAGTTACAACCATGATGGAGCCTACTGATCTCGGTCATAACTCGTGATGGTCTTAAATCGAGTCATCCACATGACCGACCTGATTTTTACAACTAGTCCTTAAGCAAAATGCCGCGGAAGTCTGTTGTAACTTCAGTCGGTCACTAAGTGACTGGTTGTAACTCGAGGACTGCCTGTAGCTCCATTCCACTTCTTTGAGGGCATTCAAAATTTGTAATGTAGCTTTTTCCTTTTTTTCTAACCCATCTTCCTTCCCTCTTTGAATTCCAGATCACGAGTGCATTTGACATGGAAGCGGTCACTTTCAAGAAGCTGGTGAAGGGCCATGCTTACTCGGTCACCGGAGCTGAGCAGGTGAGAACCGTTGAGCCGTCATAAAAACCATACTAGAAAGCGGAGAATAATGTCAAGTGCCAGCGAAATCAGGAGATCCAGACCGTTCAAATGGGTATAAAGTTTTATCGTAAGCTTAAGTTCTCTATGAGAACCTGAACTACTAACAGCCAAGGGAAATTAGCGGGAGATAAGGAATTCATGGTAGACTGGATTCCTATAGAAATATAATATCACATGCTGTGTACATATAGTCCTTGACTTACAGCATTCATTTAACAGCCATTTGAAGTTACAACAGCCCTGAAAACAATGTGACTTAGGACCGGTCCTCACACTTATGACCGTTGCAACATCCCCATGATCCCATGCTCAAAATCCAGGCGCTTGGCAACTGTAAAATGTATTTTACAACAGTTGCCGCATCCCAGGGTCATGTGTGACTTTCCCACCTGGCTTTCAACAAGCAAAGTTAATAAGGGAAACCAGATTCACTGAACAACCATGTGATTCGCTTAAGAACTGCAATGATTTGCTTAACGACAGTAGCAAAAAATAAAAAGGTTGTAAAATCAGGCATAACTCACTTAACAGCCTCCTTGCTTAGCAATGAACTAAAGGGCCACCATCAGTGAGCTGTTGGACAGCATTACTTGGTCTGTTGTGTGGATGTTTGGGTGGTTTAAGGGTGGGGAATTTGTGGTGGGTGGGTGGTGGGGGTGTTTGGGGATTGTTATGTGTGTTGGAGATGGTCTTTGGGTGTTAAGTGAATTTCATTGTATGGGTATACTGTTGTTGTGGCCCATCAGCGGCCTGTGCAGATTGTAGCTGATTCTGACAGCGAGGAGGCTGGTGTGCTGCACCAGCAGCCTGTGCAGCTGGCGCTCGAGTCAGACAATGAGGAGGCTGAAGAAGATGTGGTGCCAGAGGCAGGGATTCAGCCAGGGCCTTCAGAACCTCTGGAAGCTCCTTTAAGTGAAGAGGACAAAGAAGAGGAGTCTCTTCTTGATGCATGGGCGTGCAGAGCTGCTAAAAGGCAGGAGTGGCTCCTCAGGAGGAGGTCTCCTTGAGAGGAAGGCTTGGGGCTAATTGGCCACTCCCTTAGCCTATTTAAGGAGGAACACTGACTGAAGCAAGTTGTAGGGAACAACTTTAGTTAACTCTACTTTGTGTCTGGATTCTCTGCAAATTGCTTCTGGGCTTTCTGCCAACCTTAGTAAGATTGTGATTACTTTATCTTTGGTTTCTTGTAGGCTGTTAAGAAAGTTTATTAACAGCCTTTCTTTTGAAAAAGACTGAGTTATTTTAGTAAATTAAGTTTTGTACAAACTTTGTGTGTGCTGTGTTCTTTGGGATCTGTAGCTGGGGCAGAACAACTGTGCATACATGTACAATGACAATAAAGTTATTTATTTAATTTAATTTAATATTAATTTAATGGAAATTGTGGTCCCAATTGAGGCTGTAAGTTGAGAATTACCTGTAACATGATTTTCTCAGAAATCATGTTGAATTTATTCTTTGGCACTAGGAGGCAGCCCAGTCTGTTTTCAGATTTGCACTCAGCTCTCAATAGCAATAGCATTTAGACTTATATACCGCTTCACAGTGCTTTTACAGCCCTCTCTAAGCAGTTTACAGAGTCAGCCTCTTGCCCCCAACAATCTGGCTCCTCATTTTGCCATCCTCAGAAGGATGGAAGGCTGAGTCAACCTTGAACCTAGTGAGATTTGAACTGCCAAATTGCAGTCAGCCGGCAGTCAGCAGAAGTAGCCCGCAGTACCGCATTCTAACCACTGCGCCACCGTGGCGCATGGACATCAACTTGCTCATTTCTGGTTTCCGGTTACCATGCTGACTCAGATTGGCCGTTAATTTCATTATATAAAACCACCGCGAAGTCAGCTTCATGGGAACTCAGTGACTCATGACAATCTCTCTGCCTTCCGACAGATCAGCTTCCGAGGACAGCGCGTCAGCCTGATCCGGATACGAAACCCGTGGGGAGAGGTAGAATGGACGGGAGCATGGAGCGACAGGTGAAATGGCCGTCCTGGAGTTGGTGAACTACAACTCCCAGCATCCTTTGTCGTGAGGTGGCCTTGCCCGGTTTAGAGAGAATAAAATCACCAGAATGAATGAAGCAGAATTATCCATGTTTCATTCACTTCCATAAAAGTTCCCCGGTCTTAAAATAGAACGATTAACCAGTGTTTCTCCACATTGACACCGCCAAGGTGGAGAAACACCAGAATAGACCAATTCAGAGCTTATCAATCAATCCCTACCTGTTCTCAAAAAAAGCTCTCGGCATTTTCTGGATGGATGGATGCACACCCTGAACTCTTGCCAGCCTCATTAACAAAACCCTCAGCCTGCCTAAAATCTGGCTTGTTTCCTGGTGAATTTAAGGAGCGTTTTTATTTTTATTTTTTTTAACAGTTCTGGAGAGTGGAATGCGGTGGAGCCGGCTGTGGGGCAGCAGCTGAGAGTGAAAATGGAGGATGGGGAGTTTTGGTAGGTCTGACTTTTATCTGAGTTTAACCAAGGTTTTATTTAAATTTAAAAACTAATGAGGAAGATTAGTTTTTTTATTTTATAGCTACTATTAATATTATTTTAATATTTATTATTTTTATTGTAAGATGCCTGGAGTCACTTTGCAGATTGAGATGGGAAGGGAAGGGAAGGGAAAGGAAGGGAAGGGAAGGGAAAGGAAAGGAAAGGAAAGGAAAGGAAAGGAAAGGAAAGGAAAGGAAAGGAAAGGAAAGGAAAGGAAAGGAAAGGAAAGGA